CCCCCCTCCCCATAGGCTTCTCTCTCTCTCTCTCTTTTTCAGTCTCAGGTGTAGAATTTAGTGATTTGTCACTTACATAGGACATCCGGCGCTCATCACAAGTGCCCTCATTAATACCCATCACCCATTTAACCCCTCCCCCACCCCCATCCCCTCCAGGACCTTTTAAGAAAAACCTCACATCCGGATGCTCTGAACACTTGTGAGTCTTTTCAATTATCCAGACACGTGAAATTTTTGCAGTTTGTGATACAGAGAGGTTAATTCATACGATCCTCCACTCTACTTTAAATAATAATGAGAAGGTAGTATTGGGGAGAAAGAAAAATGGGCAGTACTGGGGTGGTGGGTGAGGAACCACTGTTGCTGTCTGGATGGCTTCTGGCCACTTCTGGCTTGTGGTTGTTCAAGAACTACAAGCTTGAGAGGGAAAGTATAAAAATAGGACCTAGATTCAGTAGGTGCAGGACTGGGGAGATTAAAATAAATGAATGTCACAAGATTTTGAACCTTAGGGAATGTCGTTCAAGAATACACAGTCTTGGCTACTTTTCTTTGTTCTAAGGAAAGTGAAGGCAACAGAGAAGCTACTACAGCTAAGAGTTATGGGTGGTGATCCAGTTTGATAGAAAGCTGGTCTTTACTATGCCTCTGATCCAGATGATTCTGTTTGTTTGTAGTTTGAAGATTTTTATTTATTTGACAGAGAGAGTGAGAGAGCAAGAGAGAGCACAAGCAGGGGACCTGCAGAGGGAGAGGGAGAAGTAGGCTCGCTGCCAACCAGGGGAGAAGCCACTGAAAAATGTGTCCAGATACGTTAGATATAAAATCCTCTGTGTGTCTGGCTTGCAGTAGCATGTGCCCTAATGGTTATAGCCCATGCTTTGTGGATAGACAAGAACCAAGGAAAACAATACTTGCCAAATAGTGTCAGAGAATATGTGGGCCTATATGCTTAGTAATAACAGCCCCAATGGCCACAGTGTGTACTTATGAGAAACTCATTGGCATATGCAAACTACAGTAGAATTGAGGGTGACTACTTCCCATATGACGTCCTAGGGACATTGAGCGTTTTAGGGCCCATAAAATGTACTCAGATATCACCTCAGCAATAGGCAAGCTATGGCAGGGGTGCCTGGGTGGCTCAGTCCGTTAAGGTCACACTCTTGGTTTCAGCTCAGGTCATGATCTCAAGGTTGTGGGATTGAGCACCCTGCCGGTCCCTGAGCTCAGCATGGAGTCTGCTTGAGAGTCTCTCCTTCTCCCTCTGCCCCTCCCCC